AGTACAGGAGCCACACCCACATTTCCTGTCCCTCCTGGACATACACAGTGAGCTACCAATGAGGAAGGAAGTGAGCAAAGATGGGAGAGAAAAAGAAAAGAAAGGCAAGGATGGGCAGGAAGGCCAGAAGGAAGGAAAGAAAGCTGAAAGATCATTTTCATCCCAGTAGGAAACCTGTACACAGTAGGTATTCAACAAATACTTGTTGAAGTAAAAAAAATAAATAAAAAAATAAGAGAATGCTAGCAAAAAGCAAGAATAATAAATGCTTGTCAAATTTAATAATTTATAAGTTGTGGCTAATGGTTAAAGGGTAGAGAAAATAAAAAGACAAAATTTAATTCTTGATCCTTTTGAAGCTAGTTTCAAAATTACTTTTCAGTTATTGGTGGTAATGGACTGTCCGTTTCTTTTTGAAGTCAGCGCTGATTTGCCTTGCTGTTCTACAACATAGAACTTCATAGTCAGAGGGAGAGGAGCCATACGCTCCCTCTTTGCACAAAGCTCTGGGAATTTGCTCTTTACACTTAAGGTAGAGCTTTTGTGTGCCTTTGATGATAAATGTCTGCTGGCTGATTCCAAAAAAAAAAATCTGAGCATCTCAATGAAGCAGGTGTTTAAATGATCTGATGTACTGTAAGAATCCAAGTAGTCTTCGTTAACCACTGAACAAAAGCGCACTAGGCACAGATATTTTTTAATATGTATTTCTAAAGTCACACCTGATAAGCACTAACAAGAAAGATGATAAGAAAAGCCACATTTTATTGAGCACTTATGTACTGATTCTTTTGTGTGTGTATTTACATGAATTATTGTACTAATTTTTTAAAATATTTTTTATTGATTTCAGAGAGGAAGGTAGGTAGAGGGGGAGAGAGACAGAAACATCAATGATGAGAATCATTGATCAGCTGCCTCTTGCACTCCCCCTACTGGGGACCAAGCCTGCAACCTGGCATGTGCCCTGGACCAGAATCAAACCCAGAACCCTTTAGTCTGCAGGCCAACGCTCTATCCACTGAGCAAACCAGCTAGGGCTGTACTAATTCTTATATGGATTCTATAGGTGAATATACACTTTGCAGATGAGAATACTGAGGATTCTAGAGATTAATTGGTCCAACATCACCAATTCGTAATAAATGGATTTGGCCCCAGTCAGTCTCACTCCAGAGATTATGCTTTTCACGATTGTCTTAGTGCAGTGATGGCGAACCTATGGCACGTGTCAGAGGTGACACGCGAACTCAGTTTTTTGGTTGATTTTTCTTTGCTAAATGGCATTTAAGTATATAAAATAAATATCAAAAATATAAGTCTTTGTTTTACTATGGTTGCAAATATCAAAAAATTTCTATATGTGACACGGCACCAGAGTTAAGTTAGGGTTTTTCAAAATGCTGACATGCCGAGCTCAAAAGGTTCGCCATCACTGTATAGTGTCACCCACGGCCTGCTAGTGGTTATATTCTTCTCTTCTACAGTTAAGCAGATCCCTTTTCTCCTTCCATTCCCTTTGAAAAGATGCTGAGCTCTTTTAAAGTGTATTTTGGTGGGAGACCTTTGGTGATAACGTACAGGTAATTTATGAGAAGCTATCAATGACTGGCTTCGCGATTAGCCAACAAAGTTATGCTAGGACAACCACAGCCACAAGTACATTTATTTTCAAATCATAATTTTGATCACAATTATAATTTTTAATAACGAAAATAAAACATAATATTCTCTTTGAAGAGATTAATTTCTTTCTTTTTTCCCTTCACCTGGTGCTTATCATTCAGAACAATCAACAGCTAAAGGAATTAAATGCCTTCTCCTTTAGAGAGTGTAATGCCCTAAAATCCAATTAGCTTAAAGCAATTAAAATGCTGTTTTTAGAGCCAACGCCCCTCCAGGAGGTTGCTGTAACTGTGGAGTATTGTTCAAAATCATGCAAAGAAGAAAAGAAATATCTGTGTCAAAAGTACATTTGTGAACAACAGAGCTCCACCTACATGCACATCATATCAGTGTTTAGACCAGAAAATGTCATGATGTGGTCCCTGCACCAACCTGCCCAGCATCACCTGGGACCTTGTTAGAAATGCAGATTCTAGGGCTTCCCCCACCTACTGAATCAGAAACCCTGGGGTGGGCTTCCCCCACCTACTGAATCAGAAACCCTGGGGTGGGCTTCCCCCACCTACTGAATCAGAAACCCTGGGGTGGGCTTCCCCCACCTACTGAATCAGAAACCCTGGGGTGGGCTTCCCCCACCTACTGAATCAGAAACCCTCAGAGCGGGGCCTAGCTACCTGCATTGAACCAGACTTTTAGGTGATCCTAATGCCCACTAAAGCTTGGGAACTACTGATACAGGGAAATACTCTGCTACCAAAACAGCTGCAACTGAAACTTATAGGTGTAATAGTCTTATTTATCATTCCTCTTAGTAAATACTAAGCGATTTACAAGCATTACTTACATATGTTTTCCCACATCACAGGTTTGCCTATAATCTTTAGTTGCATACTAATCTCAGCTTGAAAACTGCCTCTGTTTACATTCAGTATTTACCTATAGTTTATAATGTTTATCTCGTGCTTCTCTGGTCAAAATAGATGGTTTTACCATGTGAAGTAGATAACATTTGTTTAGTAATATTCCAAAGCCTTTCTAACACTGTGGAAAACAGCTCTTGTAAATAGCCATTGTACTGTCAAAACAACATTTCATTTGCTCAGTGAGAATCTATTTATATTTGCTGTTTTAAGTGATAATGAGAATGTGAACTGTAAGTCTAGGCTCCTGAGAGAGATGCTCCTCTTCTCCCTCATGTGTGGCTCCCTTTGCATCTGTGATTCATAATCCACTTGCGTCATGAAGCATCGATGAAGGGAAGCCGATGACAGTAATGGAGCCCTGTTAGCTCAGCTTCACAGGACAGACAGATTGTGTTTCACCAGAGAAAAGTGCCTCTAATGAGAGGAGGTGGCTTGGGACAAAAATATTGGTGCTTTCTTTTTCTTCTCCTAATGCCATTCGTGGCTCATCCACGACATCATTATAAAAATGCACAAAGTTCGTGTTTGACTATGGATCCACAGTTTAAAATTCACTCGTTTGTTTATTTCATTGATGAGGGAACCGGCAGGAAGACAAGAGAGTTGGTTCTAAAGCAAAGGATTGAGGGACAGAGAGTTACATAACCAGTTCGGAAAGGAGGGCCAAAAGGAGTTTGCCAAGTTGGATGGAAAGTGCTGAGTGAAGAACAGTTGTGCTATAGAACAGTGGTTTTCAAACATGACTGCTTTTCAAAATCACCAGAGGAGTTTTTCCAACTTTTAATGCCCAGGCCCAGCCCCAGAGATTCTATTTCATTGGTCTGGGGTGGGACCCAGGCCTGTGCAGTGATTCCCGTAGAAGCTGGGGTTGAGCATTCCTGCAAGACAGCAATCTAACACATGGCCAAGGAGCCTCGCTACCCAGATAGAAGGGGGGCCAGATACTTCATGCCACAAGCCTGTCTCCTCCTATTCCCCAGGGCCCGGCTGCCTTATCAGTGCAATCCCTCACCCTGCCATCCATCCATCCACAGGCATCCTTGGGGCACGAATCACTTGTCAGGCCTTGAGCTTGGGATGGGGCAGTACAAAAGTTTCCAGACACACTCGTACCTGCATGGATCCTACAGTAGAGTGAGAAGGTAGACAAGAAAACAAATAATTAAATGGAGAAAATTTGGAAATATCCTGATTACTCCTGGAGAGAGTCCTGAACAAACTACAGTACATGGTACTTACTGGCACTAGGAAATCCCTGGGAAGAGTGACGTAGATTGACACGTACAAATTGTGGAGACTCTCCAAGATATATTGTTAAGTAGATAAAAGTAAGCTACAGAATAGCGTATCATTTATGTTTCAAAATTTTGAAATACGTCATGATGATCCATCAGTGCATAAATATATATGTAACTGCAAAGAAACGTCTAGAGGTGCACCTCTTATTTTCCATAATTAATTTTTTTTCCAAAAAGAAAGTATTCATTATTTGTCAAATTTAAAATTAGTACCATTTTTAAAAATTCCAGCAGATTCTTGGGGGGGGGGGGGGTCTGGAAATATTTTCATTTAACTAAGCCATGTAACACTTGCCTGTTAATTGTGACAAAGCAGTTGGAACTATCAGACATGATTTTATCTAAGTGACTATTATTTAACAGAGAGCAATGTCCTAAGGAAATGGGGCATTAGACAGATGTGCCAGTAGAGGAAAGGCAATGGGAAAAGAATCCAGAATGAGGACCTGCTGCATATTTAATGAGAAAGACCCAGCTGCCAGCTTTCATCTCCGCAGCTACCACAGTTTTACCTGAGGCTTGTCCTTCTAACCAGCTGGAAGCTTGAATATCAGCTAGTCTAGTCTTCCAATGGAGATTCTCCATTCTAGCTGCATGTTAGAATCATATGGGAGACTTATAAAAAGATTGATGCCTGGCACCAAGACCAATTAAAGTTAAACCTTCGGGAGGTTGGGCCTGGGTGTTGTTTTTAGTATGACCAGGCCTAAGACCCTGTGAGAAGAATCATGCATGCCTGGCCAGCTTGGCTCAATGGTTGAGCATCGATCTATGTGAATCAGAGGATCAGGTTCGCTTCCTGGTCAGGAAACATGCCTGGGTTGAGGGCTTGATCCCCAGTGTGGGGCTTGCAGGAGGCAGCCAATCAATGATTCTCTCTCATCATTAATGTTTCTGTCTCTCTCTCCCTCTTCCTTCCTCTCTGAAATCAATGAAAATATATACAAGTATATATTTTTTAAAAAGAATCATGCTTGCGTGCTCGCACACATTTTGGCACCATTCCAGTTTGGGCAACATCATGCTTGCAACGTACTCCAAAATCCGTTGCAGTGCTGCCAAACTCTAGGGGAATATGGAAAAAGGAAAAGCATTTGTACTTTTGTGCTATGTGATTCCAATATTATAACACCATGTGTTTGGTTCATTTCAGGCTCGACTGACCAAAGAACAGCGCTGGGGAAGTGCATTACTCTCCAGAAACCACTCCTTAGAAGAGGAATTTGAAAGGGCAAAAGCAGCAGTGGAGGTAACTTTTAAAAAATTGCTTTTATTTCGTGTTTCTGAGAGTGGAATTCAAAAACTCAAAATTCAGCAGGGTACACCTGAAATGGGTCTTACTTTATAGACATGAAATAACCATGATTATGATTATCAGAATGAAACCTATTACCAGAGTACTTTGGACTTCCTACCAGGAGTGACTATAGATGTCACCTCTTATGCCGATTCTGTGATAGATTAGCAGTGACTGGCTGGAGTCCTGGGTCAGAAAGAATGCTGAGCCTCATCTGGGTTATATGATGAATCTCTGCTATGCATTTTCTATGCCTTTCTCTCTGAGGCCAAGATTCATGCCTGGCATTTTCATCTCTCTAGCATCTACACAATGTCTGAAGCATAGAAGGTGTCGCTGCCCCAGAAATATTATACATTTCCCTAACTGAAAAGGTATGGCTGAGATATTCCAGCCGACGGAAGGCCTATCTTGACTCAAGCCATCATTTTTTACTGTTAAGCATATCCAAAACAAATGGCAAGATTTCATTCTTTTTTATGGCCCAGTAATATTCCATTGTGTATATATACCACATCTTCTTTATCCAGTCATCTATCGATGAACACTTAGGTTGTTTCCATATCTTGGCTATTGAAAATAATGCTGCAATGAACATAGGGATGCATATATCTTTTAAAAAACAAAGTTCACGAATAAACAGAAAAAAACTCAAAGATACAGATAACAAACTGATGGTTGCCAGGTGGGAGGGATAGGTAGGAAGATGAAGGGATTAAGAAGTACATATTAGCAGTTACATAATGGTCACAAGTTATAAAGTACAGCATAGGAAATATAATCAATAATATTGTAATAACGATGTATGGTGTCTGGTGGGTACTAGAGATATGGGGGATCACTTTGTAAGTTATATAAATGTCTAACTATTATGCTGTACTGCTGAAACTAATATAATATTGAATGTCAACTGTAATTGAAAAGTAAAAAAAAAAATTTAAAAAGAATATGCCAAACAATAACAATGTTGATATAGTAAATAAAATGAGATACTTAATTCGAACATGAATTTCCTTTTTTTTAAGATATATTTTATTGATTTTTTTTTTACAGAGAGGACGGGAGAGTGATAGAGAGTTAGAAACATTGATGAGAGAGAAAACATAGATCAGCTGCCTCCTGCACACCCCCCCACTGGGGATGTGCCTGCAACCAAGTTGCATGCCCTTGACCGGAATCGAACCTGGAACCCTTCAGTCCACAGGCCAACACTCTATCCATTGAGCCAAACCGGTTAGGGCTCAAACATGAATTTTCTCATTTAGCCTTCTAATGAGGAGGAAAGAAAGAATGGAGAGAGAGGAAGGAAGAAGGAAAGGAGGAAGGGAAGCCAAAAAGGACAATCTTTGCTGTTTTTTATCCATTTTCTTTCTGGTCAGAATCACAAAGAGTACACCACAGATGCCATCTGTGGTGCTCATCAGAGCTGTGCTAGATTGCTATGTGAGAGTGGCTCTCACCGAACCCAAGCAGGAACTTGTCAGGATCTCCATTTCTGCTACTGATATGAAGTCTTGAAAACTGAAAGTATTCCTGTAATATGGTTCATTTACGTGGCTGTCTCACCACTAGAATTTGGATGAAATTATTGTACTATGAACAGTCTTTCAGTAACTCCATACTTGAAGTGCAGTTAAGTCATATTTCTAATTTAATAGTAAAGGGATTCTTTATATTCTGGAAAATAATTCCAGCCATAATCTCATATCATCATTCAGAAACCCAATAAGAGAACACTTTTTATCTGATCACAATATAATTTGCCCAAATTTCTTTTTTTAATTTTAGCCTTTTTTACTTTAAAAAATTAATGCATTTTAGATCTCTTGAATGTGATCAACTGATATATTTGATTGAGATCCGCGGAGACCACATTGTCTAACTGCATGGAGCCTATAGCTCAATTTATTTTAAATGTAGATTTTTTTTCAGACTTAAGAGCTCATTTAAATTTATCTTTTGAACTACTGTGTATAGCACACTGAATTAGTATTAAAAAGAAGATTATTTAAAACCATAGCATTTGGGTCAGCAAAGACAGAATTGATAAGATCCCATTTAGAATGAGAAAGACAATGGGTTCACACTCAAAAGGCTTCATTTCAAAGTAACAAATCAATAAGACAAAAATTATCCATCTATCTATGTGTGCGATATATAGATATAGATATAGATATAGATATAGATATAGATATAGATATAGATATAGATATAGATATATATTGATATAGAGATATATACTCACAAAATCATTTCATCTTAGTTTTGGTAAAGACCTTAAAAGTTATTTATTCCAACCAGGCACACAAAATATATTTTTCCTACTCAAGCATACTTGACAAATTATTCATTCAAGCATAATCTGTTTCTGCTTGAACACTTCTAATTAGGAGCACCTCACTTCTTTTCAAGAAAACCTATTTTAGTTTTGGATAGCCCTACCTATTAAAAAGCTCTTCCCTGGTCTGGCCGGCATGGCTCAGTGGTTGAACATCGATCTACGAACCAGGAGGTCACGGTTCAATTCCCAGTCAGGGCACTTGCCAGGTTGTGGGCTCGATCCCCTGTTTGGGGCATATAGAAGGCAGCTGATCGATAATTCTCTCTCATCATTAATGTTTCTCTCTCTCTCCTCTCCCTTGCTCTCTGAAATCAATAAAAATATATTTAAAAAAAAAAAAAAGCTCTTCCCTGTATTATGCTGAAATTGGCCTACGACAACTCCCAGTGTTGCTTAGTCTTGGCTTTGCCCTCTCCAGAACAAGGCAGAATGAGCTGAATCCCTTCTCTACATGACACTCACCTCATTCCTTGTAGACTTATCTTTTCCTGGCTTCTCTTAGTTATTATTTCAACTTCTCTCTAATAGCTTCATCTCATCAATAGTATAGGCCTCAGTCCCCACACCTGTATAGTTCTTTCCAGCTACGAAATCCTAAGAGGCTGTAAGTTGCTTCAAGTAGTCATTCATTCAACAAACATTACTGGCTGTCTACCTGTGCTGACTGCTGTAAGCATAAAGAAAGTGTGTGTTTAAATGCTAACACTAGTATACTTGGATGGCTAGATTTGGATTTTATTCTGTCTCTTAGTTTATCTGTATTTTCCAAACGTTCCATCATAAACATGCATTATGTTGGTAACTAAGGAAAACGTGGTAAGTTATAGACATTAGAGAGGGCTATAAGATGCTTAAGAGAACGAAAAGTGCCCCATTCTTCATTTCAAGGTCAACAAAGAATGGTGTCACAGACCAGATTCATCAGACAGGCAGTTCCAAACACTAGTTAAGACCCAGAGGAAAACCATTTTCTAAATCGAATTTTTCCAAAGTCTCCATTTTATATTTTATATCATCTGACTTCAATATTCTTTCTCTTTCACAGTCTATTCCATTCTTTAGTGCTATTTTTTAGATTCCATTGATGTCTTTTTTGTCACCACCCTGCCTAAGAACCCAGCAGCTCCTGCTCCTCCTCAGTCCCCTCACAAGCCCCAGAGGTGCCAGTGCCCTCCTTTGCCTCTTGCACAACAACCTCACTGCCCTCTGTTTCCACTCTGTCCTTCCTCTGCAGGGAGCACGCCCCCCAGATCCTCAGGGGGCAGGTTCCTTCCTGTCATACACGTTGCAGCCGGCGTGTCGGGGCCTCAGGAAAGCTGAGCCTGCCCGCCCAGTTGCTACCACAACATCTAGAGTGTTGTTTTTCTCCTCATATTTATCACGGGGTTTTTTCTTGTTTGTCTTTATTTATGTGTCTGTTTGTTATCTGTCTTTTCTGCTTTAAAATGTAACTCCCGTGAGAAAAGGATCCTGGTCTGATATTTACCACTGTACCTCAATATCTAAGACACTGTCTGGTACCTAGTAAGTATTTAGTAAATATTTGTTGAATTAATGGATAGATAGCTGATTATTCATCCCCTAATTCGGGCCATTCTGTCTATCTACCGTTGCATATAAAGTGCCATATCACCTCCTACTATAATGGAATATCTGCATTTTCATAGCTAATGTAAACAAATGATTCTGTCTAAGGCACACCGGTTTCTACCAGGGACTGTGCCTCTGTCGTCTCAACCTCAATGTCAGCCAGCGAGACACACCTACAAGGATGCAGGTGGCACCAACCAGTCTTGCCGTAGAGTAACACTGGGCATGTCTTATATTTTACATGGTACACATGAGTTTTTACTTTTACTAAGTAACAGACAACATGTCATTCAACTAATGTTTGGGCTAAAATGTCCTAAAATACAGTATCTTCTACTGGAGAAAAGACAGCCAACTCCACAGGCTTATTGATTCCCTATCTTAAATGACCTGGGGACTGTTTATGTACAAAGGCTGACATTGCTCAAGCTCGAGTTGAGCTATGGATCTAGTGAGGTCTTGTATGGGTGAGGCATTTTGCCTCCATAGCTCACATTTTATTGAAAAAATCACTGCAAATTTATCCCGCCTAAAGTATTGTAATTTTAGAAAAGAAAAAAACAAAACACAAAAATTCCTGTTCATTCTTCCCGAAACAAGAATGGAGAGGGGATTCCTTGGGGACTTTCCTCCCAGCCAGCAGCTCAAGTGCACCGTCAGCTACAAAGTGTTCCTAGGAAGGACGCCCAGGGAGGCACGGGCGTGGGAAGCAGGAAAGGAGCCTGAAGCTGCCTCCCAGAAAGGGAGATCCCTAGTGAGATCTGGCATCTGCAGAGGAGGGAGAAGGTCACGCAGGCAGCTGGCAAGCCTGCAACCACACGTCAGAAACACTTCCTTTGTCACCCATTAGCGGGGAGGGAAAGAGCCAGTGGGCATCTAATATTGAGTTTAGCTAGTTAGTCTGGCCAGGAGCCTCACCTTCAAATTCATCAGACAGGTTTAAGCTTCTTCTGTGGGCCAGGCACTGTGCGGGGGCCAGGCACTGTGCGGGGGCCAGGCACTGTGCGGGGGCCAGGCACTG